CGTATTGTATCTGTTCTGTACCAAATTCTTTACTAGGTGTTATGAAAGATGGAGGTTGGATCAAAATATTAATAATGCATGATTCCTACCCTCAAGAAGCTTAATCTTGAGACAGAACCAGATAGGCACATCAAAAATTATACAGTTAAATTGCTATAATTTAAGTGTACATAAATACTGAGAGTCTAATGAAGTGGGGAGTAGAATCTGGGGAAGGTTTTTAGAGGATGTTATATCTGAATGGAATAGGAGTTCTCTAGGCAGATGAAATTTTGGAGGCAGTAAAATAAAAATTATGGAGGCAGTAAAGAGCCTATTTGGAGAATGGTAAGACTTGGTTTGACTGAGGAATAAGGTGCATGATGGATGTAGTTGTCAAAGAAATCGCCCAATATCTGTCTCTCCCATCTGTCCTTTTCTTTCCATTTAGATAGCCACCATTCTAATGTGTGGTGTCATTATTTCTTAACCTGGTGTATTGTCAGTAGCCTTTTACCTGGCCTTGTCCCCTTCATTTCTCCTCATCCTACCTCCAACTCTGTTTTATATATGTTTTGTAGGTTATTCTTCCAGAAGTATTGGTCTGAAATTTTGAATGCTGTCAAATAGTTTAATAGCTTAACATTAAGTGTCTCCAAGACATGGCTGTGTCCAGTTTCATTTCCTAGTCTTCCTATTTTGAATCTTATACTCTGGCCCTGCTGACCAGCTCACTATTCCTCATTTATGACCCTTGCTTGATTCAATACCAAGCCTTCACTTGCTGTTTTGTTTTCCTAGGATGTCCTTCACCATCTTTGCATGTCCCAATCCTGCTAATTTTTAAAAGGCCAACTCAAACATACTTTTCAGGGGTCCTTCTCCAGGTCTCTCCCCCTGCCCCTAAACATGCCTACCCAGTAGAAATATGCCTGCCTTTTGACCTCAAAACACATCCACCCTGTTAAGTCTTGCTTTAGAGCTCATTCTGTATCTTTTATCTTCGTTATCTCTTGCACTGAAGAACCTTGAGGGCAGAGGCCATCTGCTTTTCATCTTCATGACTTGTCATGATCTCATTGTATATAGTCTATGTTCAGTAAATAAGTCTTAAGAAAAATAATTTTGTTCACTTAAGAGAAAAATGTAAACATTTGCAACTTTACATAATGACTTCTTTATTGAAATGAGACCCAAGGTAGAAAAAAAAATGTATTAGATGAGTAGAGATTTTTCCAAGTGGGCATTAATTTTCAGACCTTATCCTCTGCTATTTTTCAGCAAATGTATGGATATGATTTCACTTGGCAAAGATTTTTTGGCATTAAAATATGAGTTTTAGTATTCTGCAATGCATTAAAAATATATTACACACTGTATATTTTGGTTTAAAGTATTAATTTAGGGAGTTCCTTGAGAAGCCATCTTATTTCACCTATTTTATTATTTTGTTTTGAAGAAAAAGCATGGGCGACAGCTATTTGTTTTGAAATTATGAAAAAGTAGTTATATTTTTTCAGTAAATATACTTACTTTGTAGGTGTACATATGTGTATCAGTCTTAGATTTTAAATATTTTTTTAATAAGGATCTTTCCTAACTGAATCTAAATAAGACAGATTTGTCTTTATTTCCTTAAATGAGAAAAGTACATGCTTTGAATAATACCTCAGTGCTGTGTGCTCAAAGTACATTTACATTTTATATACTTGTCACATCATGTAATCTCTGATGAAGGAATGCACATGATTCCTGACAGCTGTGGGCTAACTCACACTATTTGATAAGAGGAAGAGGGAAGTGTTCATCTTTAGTTTCAAACATCACTGCTTTATTTTTAGAAGTCCAAATACAAACCCTTGCATCATGGAAATTACCCAGTGTTTTAGGAACAGATAGTCTGATCTTATCCCATAGATCCAAGCTGCCTCCTTCCCCTTTATTTTGTTTTCACGTTGAAAATATCCTAATGCTGTTATCATCCATTAGATTTCCAAATTACTTTGATGAGGACTGGCAAATACTCTGCCACAACTTCCTGTTCCCGATTATATTGCAGACATAACTAATCAATAACAATATCTTCCCTACTAGTCAGATTCTTACTCCAGGTAGTATCTTCTAATTGACTATATTCAGCAAACAAGATAAAATCTTGCCAGCTTATTCTTTCTGGAGTTCTCACTATTATATTACTTTGCCTCCCATTGTAAGAAATACACAGACGGTGTTTGTGGAATGTTCTTGGTAGTTTGATTAGGTTGGGATTAGAAGATCTGTATCCTACTACATTACCTTATAGTTGCTTACCTTTCTGAATTAGCCTGCTTTCTTGTTACAAGAGTTAAGTGCATTCCTTGACCCCCCCACACACACACACACACACGCACACTTTCCATGTAAATAGCATATAAGAAAATTAGTTTCTCTTAGGAGAATTTAGTTGTTGTTTTTTTTTCCTTAAAAGCTCAAAATACATTATTGTTGTTTGTTTGGTTTATCTTAAAGAAAATTGTCCCAAAAGCCAGGGATATCTTAGACTGCATTAACATATCTATTGTGTTTCAAAACAAGGAAGCAGATAATCCTGATCAGTTTTGCACTTGTTAGACCACACATAGAGTATTGTACTCAGTGTAGGACACTGTGTTTTATGAGATAAAGATGGTGCAGAGACTTTATACATTTTATATGACCAACAGATGAACTAGACATGTTTATTCTGGAAAAAAGAAGCCTTGAGGGAAATCAGTTACTGTCTTCATGTATTAGTTGGCCTTGTTATATAGCAGAGACTTACTCGTATGTTATTTTAAAGGTCATAAGTAAAGCCAATGGCTAGGTGGTTATTAATTCAGTAAAATTTCCCTCAGAAAAGGGCACTATAGTCAAAGAAATATGACAAATGCATGTGTCATGTTCCTTTTCTGGAGATTTACAAATATGTATTAAATATATACTAAGAGTCCTAAAAAGTCATTCAGTAAAAAATCTTTTTAAATATGTTAATCCCAAGAGACTCATGGACATGAACAATAGACTAGTGGTTACCAGAGGATAGGGAGGAGGGGGAAGGTAGATGGGGAAAAAAGGGGTCATATGTGGTAACAGAAAGAAATTAACTATGGGAGGTGAACATACAATGCAATATATATATGGTGTACTGTTGACTTTGTGAGATTCATGGTTTAAGGATGTTAATAGTGAACCAAGGGATAGAGATTTTGACAAAGACACATAGTAGGACACTGAGAAGGAAGGAAGGAAGGAAGGAAGGAAGGAAGGAAGGAAGGAAAGAAGGAAGGAAAGAAGGAAAGAAAGAAGGAAAGAAAGAAGGAAAGAAGGAAAGAAGGGGAAAGAAGGAAAGAGGGAGAGAAAGACATATAAAAAAAATATGTTAATCCCAGCATTCCATAAACACCTTCCTCAGAACTAGTTCTCTAGGGAACTCACATTTGGGTGGTGGTTCTCAAATTATGGTAGTGAAACCAGCAGCACTAGCATTACTTGGGAAGTTATTAGAATTGCAACTTCTTGGCCTCACCCAGACCTATGGAATGAGAAATTCTGGGAACTGGGCCCAGCAATCTTTATGATAATAAGTCCTCTAGGGGATTCTGATGCTGCTAAACTGTGAGAAGCACTGCTAGAAAATTCCACTGTTATTCTCCAACTCAAAATTCCACTGTTATTCTCCAACAGCTCCCTTTTAGTTTCCTTCATACCACTTACCATAATTGTTATTTTTAAAGATTTCTTCTAATGATATTTTATCACTCTATGGTTCATTTTTATAGATGGTTACCCTCCTGAGGTACAAAAGGAAGGAAACACTTATAGAAGGCCTACCATAATTTTCAACCTAGTATAGGTGCCATCTAGCTGGTATCAGTTTGGATAGTTTAAAGAATCCTCAGTATAATATATATATATATTCTAGAAAGTGAAATACACATTTCTCTAATGAGCTAAACCTTAAATTCACTACTATTCTTGCCATTTTTAAAAAGAACACTTACTGTTTTTTTATTTACTTCAAAAAGTTCTTTACAAAATATAGAAATTTTTAAAATATCTTGAAGGAACTGTAATGTGCCTTCTCCCATGTCAGAAGTCTATAACATTAGAGAATTTTCTAATTTCTTTGTATTAGTGGAGATTAATTTCTGGATTCATTTCATGCTCTCCAAATGAGCATGACACTTTTAGAAAAATGTAATCGAAGTATGGTTTAAAATGAATGTGTAAAAATAAAAATAATTTCCCATAACTGTGCATGCAACTATTGCCTTATTTAGTGTATTGGGTATCATAATGTCCATTTTGAATGTTTATATGAAATGTCTCTATAAGTCATGCAGAATTTTCTTGTTCTGAAAGATAGTGAAATGGGGTTGAATATACTAAGGTGTCACAATATAGTTAAGTGAATTTAGAACAAAATTATAGTGTTCCTTGGAATGAATTATGGCCAAAATTATCTTAATTTCTTGGTCCTGTCACTTTTTTAATATAAGTAAGGGTTCTCCAGGTTTATATTGGAGTTTAAAGGGGAAGCATTTATTTTACAAAGTTATAGATAATATTGTCTCCCAATTGGAGTTTTATTTGTATTTACTTTGAGACTGATAGTCCAGAGATGGATTTTGACTTGCTTGCTGCTGTCCAACAGCAGAGTGCCTGGAGGTATCCACTTATAGTAATGGGTATAAGTCCTGGTATCAGTTACTATATTTAAATACCCATGGTTGGCAGGAATGTGCTGAAGTGTGATATAACATAGTTAATTATGTCACTGTCCCTGCCCAGGGCAACTGCTCCTGAAAGGACATACTCACATGATGAGGAAGATGGCAGATGTGGTGTCTCAGAGCTAAAAGTGACTTCATTGCTGACTCCAGGAGAGATTTAGAATGTTGGCTCTGTTTCCTAAAGAGCATCTAGCAGATTTCATCCTGTATATTAACTTTTCACATGGCTTTTTATTACAATTTTTAGCTTATTATTGTGTCTCTTTTTAGTTTTCCTCATGGGAGAAAAAGCCAATTCAATATTAAAACGCTTCCCAAGAGCTAATAGACTTTTCGAAGAAACAAGACAGGGCAACATTGAGCGTGAATGCAAAGAAGAAGTCTGCACATTCGAAGAAGCAAGAGAAGCTTTTGAAAATAATGAAAAAACTGTAAGTATATTGGAATTTTAAAAAATGTTCACAGATTTGCCTAACTTTTGGATGTATGTTCGAAATCTGCATTCCCAAATAGTGTGCATTGCTAGCGATTAAAAATCACCCTTGCGAAGAACTCTGAAAGTGGCATCTAAGTAAGAACACTCTGTGTAGGAGAGGTAGGTTTACGTCCTTGTATGTCGGTCTATCTTGGCAGGTCCGGTTTCCATAGGACTCTGCTGAGCTGAGATTTATCATCTTAGCAAGGGGAAGCATTTATTTCACAGGAGGCTTTGTTCCGGAAAGTTATAGATAATATCATCCCCTTACTCTGCCTAATCAGAGAGAAATTGTGGAGGAAGCTAATAGATGCTGACACTGTTTTAAAACGTTTTACTTCTCATACAAAAGAAAAGAAATACCTGAACCTTGCTCCCTACTCTGTGAGAATAGTCCTTTTCACCTCTCTTTACTCTAGTCCACATGCTATTCAAGGAGAGCAGGGATGGGAAAGCACAGGCAGTGGTGTAAATTCTGTGGAACTGCTCTGCAGCCGTAAATTACATTACCAGGGGTGGCCATTTTATAAAGATCCTGTGCACCATGAAAATAACACTAGATGCTAAACAAGGGATGTCAGATATGTCTGTGTTAAAAGGACATCAAATACATCTGAGAGGCAGCAGATGCAGAAATTTTAAAGAAAGATTCGATCTCTTGTTAGGTAGAAAAGGACCCAGGGGTAATAGGAAAGAGCTCAAGGTTTAAGAACTCAAGGTTTTATACATTTCTTAAGTTGTTTCCTAAGTATTGCTCTGTTGCTGTTGTAAATGGGGTGTCCTTTCCATGATATATTCTAACTGGTTATTATTTGTGTATGTGTAAGCTATTGATTTTTAAAACCTTATTGAGTTATAATTGACATACCGTTAACCATACATATTTCAAGTATACAGTTTGATAAGTTTTGTGGACATTGGGGTTATTTCCAATTTGGGGCTATTACAAATAAAGCTGCTATGAATATTTGTGTACAGGTTTTTGTGAGGACATAAGTTTTTATTTTTCTGTGATAAATCTCAAGGAGTACAATTGTTGGGTTGTATGATAAGTATATGTGTAGTTCTTTAAGACATTGACAAACTAATTTGTCATTGTACAGGTTACCATTTTACATTCCTGCCAGCAGTGTTTGACTGATCAGTTCCTCTGCATACTTGCCAGCACTTTGTTTTGTTACTATGTTTTATTTGGTCATTCTGATAGGAATGTAGGGATATCACATTGTGGTTTTAACTTCCATCTCTTTAATGTCTAATGATGTCAAACAACTTTTCATGTGCTTATTTTACATTTATATATTCTCTTCTGTGAACTCTCCCTTCACATCTTTTGCTTATTTTCTATTTCTTTACATTAATTTTTCAAATTGAGATATAATTCACATACAACATTTTATTAGTTTTAGCTGTACAACATAATGATTCAGTATATATATACACACACACATATATATATATTGCGAAATGATTGCCTCAATAAATTTAGTTAACATCCATCACCACACATAGTTACAATTTTTTTCTTGTGATGAGAAATTTTGAGATTTACTCTCTTAGCAACTTTCAGATATGCAATATAGTATTAACTGTAGTAACCATGCTATATGTTACATCCCCATGACTTACTTATTTTATAACTGAAAGTTTGTGTCTTTTGATTCCCTTCATCCATTTTGCTGACCCCCTACCTCCCATCCCTACAACCACTCTTTTGATTATTTTCTAATTGGATTGTTTGTTTTCTTTTATTATTGAATTTTGAGAGTCCTTTTTATGTTCTATATTCAAATCCATTGTCAAATATATGTTTTGTAGGCTATTGGTTTTTATGTGCTAATTGTATATCTTACTACCTTACTGACCTCTTTTATTACTTGAATTAGTTTTATCATTAACTCTCAAGGTGAACAGTGTTTTCAGTGCTTAACTCTCTGGCTTTTATGCATCTCAGTGCATCTATATATCCGTTCCTGTCTGCAGACAGGATGCTGCATTTCAGCAATCTTTGACACAGATAAAGGAACTAACTCCTTCAGCAGTTGCTTAAGCAATTCTCTATGCTCTCCAGCTTCACCTTTTCCTATCTATAGACTCATTCTCATTAGCCTACACAACTTTTAGGGAAAAAAAATTCTCCTCACCCCACATACCCCTCCAACAGCCACCTCATTTTTTTTTTTACCCCCTCGGCTTTTCTCTGAGCTCAACATTAGAGCTCCATCCAGATAAGCCAACCACCTCTTGCCACAGTATCCCAGCAGGGCAGCTACAGCGTTTGGAATCTCAGGCCACAATAATTACAACCAAGCAATGCCTCCGAACTCAAGTGTGCATGTACACGTCAGAGGTCAGTGTCACTAAGCCTAGAGTCAACCATATCACTTCTTTAAACTCTTCTATATACTCTCTCTATACTCGTCCTCTGGTGAATTTTTCTAGTCTTGGGTCTTGAAATGCTATTGACTCCCAAATTTATCTATATCCTAGAGGGCTGACCTGAACTGTATGACTAACTGTCTACTCAGTAGTTCCTCTTTGAACTGAATACAGTTCTCAAATTAAACAGACAGATTTGGAGTCCTTCCCAAAAAATTTGATCCTATCACAGCCTTTCTGATCTCAGTAAGTGGTAACTCAGTCCATCTATCTCTGTGCTAAGTCCTAAACCTTGTTGTCATCCCTAACTCTTCTCTTTTTTTATATCCCACACCCCATCTGCCAACAGTGTTGTTTCTAACATGAAAATGTATTTAGGACCTAGCCACCTCCCAGTCTCTCTACTTGTTACCACTTCACATCCAAGCCACCATTAATTACTTTTGTATCTATATGATTTCTTAGCCCCCTCCTCATAGTAGATTCTCAAAACAGCAGACTAGAGTGATCCTTTCAAGTCTCTTCTCTGTAATGGCTTCTCATCTCCCTCAGTAAAAATAAAGTGCTCAAAATCACCCACAAAGAGCTATACTATCGGTCCCCATCCCTCTCCACCCCACACTTCACCATGGCTGCAGTTACTTCTTTACCACATCTCCTATGACACTCCACCCCTTATTTACTTTGCTATGGCTTTCTTATGGCTCCTGACACACAGCATGTGTCCTGCCTCATGGCTTTGGCACTTACCTACTCTTTCCTCTTCCAGATAGATATAGCTGAGCTCCCTCACCACTCTCAGGTCAAGATCATTTTCTCCTTGAGGAAGTATTCTACCTTAAGTTGCAACCTTTGCCCCTTTTGTGAATTTCTTTTCTTCCCAGCACTTACCACCATCTGACATCTGTTTGTTGTATTTGTTTATTGTTGCTCTCCCCCTAGAACTGTTAGCTCTATGACAGCAGCATTCCTCTTCTGTTTTGTTCATAGCTATGGTCTTTAGCATATAAAACAATGCTGGCACATAATAGGATCTAAGTAAATATTGATGAATGAAAGAATGAACAAATGGATCGGCATATTACAAAGTACATTTAACTCATAGGAAGAACTGGTTTAAAGCTTATTCACAAGTTAGCTGATAGATGTGGACTTAATTTAAATTTTTTATTATGTTGGTATTATGTTCCTTCACTTCTTTATGGTTTAAAGCCTATCATCTAAGTTTGCCCATGCCATTAAATCCATACCAATTTACAATAAGGTGTCCCCAAGAGTTTTGGTCTAATAAGTAATAGAAATGACACTCTAATCCTTGATCCATTTTAGAACAACTATTTCAGAATAGTGTTTGTTACATGTTAAGAAGGATCTGCTGCTCTGGGTTAAGCATTGAACAACAGTTTCATCTTTGAAGTTCACGATTGATTGATTCTGGCAGTAAAGAAAATGATAAGCTTTTGGGATTTTCTTTCAACTCTTAGACTACTAATTAACTATCATTTTGTTTACTAAAATTTGTCATTCGAAACAGATTTATTCATATTTTCATCATCCCCAAATCTGGACTGTATGAATTTTGAAGTCTGCTTTCAGTGTTATGAGGGATCTTTTTTTTTTTTTTTAACCTAATTTGGAACACAACTCTAGTTATGGCATACAGTGGGAGAAAATGTATGGCACTTTGCGGTTCTCATTTTCACCACATATAAATGTGGTCAGATTTCAGACATTATTTACTGAATGTCTACTGTGTAACAGACACAGGGCATACAACAGTGAATAAGGTGACCCTACCTCATGGTGTTTGAGATCTCTTAGAGACAGCAGACATACACACAAGGGTTCACTCACACAAGCAGTAGTTATCAGAATGCCATACATAGCAAAATCCTCTGCTTTAAGAATCAGATGTACCTGATTTGGTGTCTCAGCTCTGCCACCTACTGACTGTATTGATTGTGAAACATTTCATCTTTCTAGGCCTCAATTTTTGTACCTTTTAAAAGGGAGAAATTATACCTACATCATTAGGTTTGGGAATGTGCACTTAGCTTAGTGCCTGGCACAGAGATAGCCTTTAATAAATATATTCCAGTTTTAGGTGCTAAATTAGTAGATTTTTAAATCTACTACTGTTTTCTCTGTTGACCTGTGAGGGTTCTCTGCATTTTGGAACTTTTAATCTTGAACTAACATGAAGAAAATAATAGTAATTTTTGGAAGCAACTATTTTAGAACTTTTCTTCAGAAATTATTTCTAGTTTATTTGTGTTCAACTCTCCAAAATGACTGTGCTCAAACTTTAGAGTGCATAAGAATCAGCTTGGCTGCTTACTGAAACTGCATAGTCCTGCTTGGTGCACAGATCTGTGTTTCTAATACCATTCCACAGTAAAAGAAACCTGAACTCTTTGGGGGAGATGGCTGATTCTAGGCCTGGGGCAAGGAGAATGCAAGATGAGTTGGAGTATATTGTAGTACCAGAAGGTAGGGAAGTGCTCAAGAAAACAGATTGGGAGAATGCCAAAGGGACACAGGAGCCACCTTAAAGGAGCTCTCAATAGCCAAATCTGG